TTAAAAATTCCCACCCCAAACTCTTTAATTTACTTTAACTGGATGCAGTCCAGTCATTTTCAAGAGACAAATGAAATTCATTATCTTCTGTGAATGTAAAAACTGTTTTTAGCACTTGTGTGTTTTTTTTTTAAGTTTATTTGGTATTTTAAAGCTGTTTTTTTTACAGTATTCTGATTTATGTCTAAAACCTTATACATGACCCCCAAAATGAACAAGTCTTTTTAAAATAAAAAATAAAACCTGTAAAATGCAAAAAATGAAAAAAAGAGTTGAACCTGCACACCTTCATATGGTGAATTAATTTACAAATTTTCTTAATAATTTGAAACTAAAACTCTGGACAAAACCCAAAATAAAATGAAAAAACCCCTGTAAAATTAAAATAATAATCAAAAGAGAAAATATCAGGTGCCAACTTCATGGTAATTTTTGTCTTTTCAACAAACCTTCCAATAGTTTCTGAGTAACCCGGGACAAAACTCTCACAGCGCAGACAAACAAATGACAACTTACAGATTCCTTATATAAAGAAACTAATTTAAGCCTAAGTCACCAGTCAGCTAAGACACATTTATTTTATTCTTCAACAATTATATAATGTATATTTTTATATAAAGCGTTACCTCCAGTAAACCCGGGCTGACAGATACACTTTCCTGTGTTGACATCACAGCCCTCCGACAGGGGGTATATAGTTAATACAAAATCTTCCCCCTGGAGATAAGAAGAGTGTTTAAATGTTAACATGAAGAGTTAAAGGCTGACAGATACACTTTCTCTGTGGTGACATCACAGCCCTCAGATAAGGGGCCACACGTACAGTTCAGGGTACAACCCGCTCACATATCTTCCCTTGGGACACTGGAGATGAAAGGCAAGAGTGTTTAAATGTTAACAGAGTTAAAGTGACTAAAAGATCCCACAACATATAAGGAATTTATTATGAGAACAATAGAGAAATAATCCATATACAAATAAAGAATCTATTACACATGACCTCTGAGAACAATCAAATCCCAAAAAGAATCTATTCTAGAGTAAATCTTGTTAAGTCCGAAAACGGATGTTGTGAATTTACGGATATATAACAAAGTCATCTTGAATCCCCAGCTACATAAAATGAATAAATTTCTTATACGGTTATAACAAATTACGGATATAGCAAAGTAATTTCATAGGTCCCAGCGACCTGAAAAAATTATAACAGAGTTTTGCTGTAATATGCACATCTACACATTGTGAACAATAAATAAAGTATTATGAATCCCACAAACAAGGTATCTATATAAATACTTACCCTCTGAGTTAAAAATCAGATCCCATGAATCCCCTGGGACACAGACAGGTTCCATTGACATTGTTACATTCTCCACCATTCTGACAACTTTTAAATAAAAAAATATAAATGTGAACAAAGTAGACACGGAGGCATATTTCTAAAATCTTAAATACAATTGAATACAGTGTGACATATTTTGTCTTTTATTTTTTTCCCCATTGATCTGTGATCAAGATTGTTACATTTCAAGAAAAATTCATTTTAAATACGTTCATAAATTATTTCATCTTTGTGAATGTTTATTTCACAAATAAAATAAAGAGATGCCTTAAATAAGAGTGAACAATCCTGATGTACCTGCAGTTCTGTTTACATCCGTTGCCATAGGTACCTGTGGGACATGGCTGCTGACAGAAAACTCCCTGGTAACCAGGTAAACACTGACATTGACCAGAGACTGGGTCACAGGTGTCGCTATGGACACACTGGTCACAGCGATAGATACAGCCCGGACCGTACGTCAGCTTCTGTAAAACCAATACGGTCCAACTATAATTGACCAATGCTAGAAAATGGAGAAAATCTCCCCAAAATTGCACAAAAAATATTGTGCTGGAAATTGCACCTTTTTTGCATTACAGGATCTGTAGCATTATGGTCAAAGACAATACAATATATATAAAACCTTATAGGTCACCTAGTATCATGTAACAACTTTAGCGATTATATTTGGTTCTGTTTTAATCCAAAAGCCATGAAATTCACAAATTTTGAGGCACCATTGGTTAGAAAGCGCTGATTTCAAAGCATTAATTTATTAGTGTACCCCCCTTATAAGCGGCCCTGAAATTATCTATTTAGATATATATAGAGGCCCCTTTCTTCATTTTGCATTTTTTTATATTTCTGTAGTTATGAACATGAGAATAAAAAAGTCACATGAGAAGGACATTTTTTTTTTGATACTCAATTATTATGTACAGTCTTTTTTAATAGACTCCTTACCACTGGACACATGCTTACAAATAGGAAAGTAGAACATTTAACTGCTTATTTCATCATCTGCCAGTTAAGGCCAGTTATATAACTTGTGTGATGTTGATCAAAATGTATTTTTAAAAAAACATTTCTTTAACAGTCAATATAGAACCCAGCATCACACAGAATGTGTAGACGTTATTAAAATGAACGGCCATGGTAACAACTTACTGCAAGCGGGTTTACAGGATAAAGCTATAAAGAAATTTACACATAAAGCTATAAATAGATAAACATGGATGGCAAAGGTTATAAATAGATTTACAGGATAAAATAATTTACAGATTACTTTTGATACACAATTATAAATAGCATTTCATTGTGCAGGAGTCGTAATTTAATTTGTCCTTTCAACAGGTGAAACGTTTTGAATAGCACTCTTTCGATGAATTTTACCTAAAAATAGCAATAGTTTCAGTGTGCGTAAAATATATAAGATTCAAACACGGAAAGAAAAAAAGTTGTTATATTTTTTTTTCAAAAAGGAAAAATTTAAAATAAATCCTGGCCTTAAATATGTAATTAGATCATTATCATATTAACAAACATGACAAACTAAATATATGTTTCAAAATACCTAATGTTTACAATTTTGGTAGAGGCGCTCTTGTTTACATTATCATAACTATGTTTACAGTTTATTTAATACCCAGGAGCAGAGAAGAAGATTTTCAAAGAATATCTGTAAACTATATAATCAATAAGCCCCGCCCTAACACCATGAACATTATCTGGGGCCATAAAATTCACAATTTTGGTACAAATCATAACTATGTTTACGTTTATCTAATACCCAGCAGCAGAGAAGAAGATTTTCAATAGAAATTCCTATGCATTTTCACTATTATCTATTTACCGCCCTAGCACTAAATTTGAAACCCCAGGGCCATGAATTTCACAATTTTGGTAGAGGACATACCTATTGCTGATTACAATCATGCAAACATACCTTGATTTACAGGAGTAAAGGAAGATTTTTACAATATTGCATTGATTTTATTATCTCAGGAACATATAAACATATCATAACATTATACATAATGCTTTGGAAAATTTGGTTGTTGGTACATCAGAGAAGAACATGAAAATGTTCAAATATTATACGCACAACATGCCTATGTATTACATTAACATCCTGTTTACATTCAGGTACCTATTTTACATTATATAAAACATACCTATGTTTACAATATTCATTGTTTACATTTCTGGTTGTCTAAGTACAGCATCACATAAACAGATGTGGTAACAATAACTGCTAGCGGGTTTACATTATCTAAAACATACCTATGTTTAGACTTTTTACATTCCTGGATGTCCCTTACATTATCTGGAACATACCTATGTTTACATTATCTGGAACATACCTATGTTTACATTATCTGGAACATACCTATGTTTACAATATTTGGAACATTCCTATGTTTACATTATCTGGAACATACCTATGTTTACATTATCTGGTAAATTTCTATTTTTACATTTTATCTGGTACATATCTATGTTTACATTATCTGGTACATACCTATGTTTACATTATCTGGCATATACCTATGTTTACATTATCTGGTACATACCTATGTTTACATTATCTGGTACATACCAATGTTTACATTATCTGGAACATGCTTATGTTTACAATATCTGGTACATACCTATGTTTACATTATCTGGTGCATTCCTGTATTTACATTATCTGGTACATACCCCTAGGTTTATATTATCTGGTACATACTGACATTTACATAATCTGGTACATACCTATGTTTACATTATTTTGGTACATACCTATGTTAACACAAGGACTGTCACACCTGCTGCCTTTCCATCCTTTGTCACACACACAATTCCCTGTAGATCCACAGTAACCATGGATACACTGACATCGATTCTGACAGGAATCACCATAGTAACCAGTAGGACACTTACAAGGGCTATTTTTATCCTAAAATATCACACAAAAATGTTTTAAAAACATTGTTATCAGAGAGCCAGGTTCACTAACTAAACTCCATAAAATGGCCCTGTCATAATATCAATTAACTGACCAAGTCCTTACGTCCCATTCCAAACATCAACTTAAAGTAGAGACTTAGTGCTTTCATTACCTATAAAAAAATTTCTTCTGAGAGTTTAGTTCTGGTACTCAGGCTATGTGAAACTACAATGTTTTTGAATTTTGAAGAAAATGAGTGAATTTGAGCATCTTCATTTACTAATTAAAATATGGGCCCAGCCCGCGATCCAAAAATTATTTCATGGATTAGAATCTCCAGAAAAATTTCTTTCACTATATAGATTAACATTTTAGATCAGACGTTGGGGGTTATGCAAAATATTTCAAAAGGGCTAAACATTTTGGCCATTTTAAAGAAATTTTCAAGGTATGAGGAAAATGACGCAATTCATGACATTATAATACATAGACAAACGGAATAATTACATCATTTTTATTTGATATGAAGTCACCAAGGGTCCAAGTGAAATTTAACACATTTTCAACTAAAGATTAGCAGTTCTGATTTTTCAGAAATTCACAGGGCCAAAAGGGGCCCAAGTGAACATTGTTCTTTATGTCACTTTAGTTAACTCACAGAGGTAGTCCTGTTGCTATAGTTACCTGACAAATACACAGTCCTGTTGCTATAGTAATCTGACGAAAACACTGTTGCTCTAGTTACTTGACAAATGCATAGTCCTGTTGCTATAGTTACTTGACAAATACATAGTCCTGTTGCTATAGTTACCTGACAAATACACAGGCCTGTTGCTGGGCTACAGATCCCTGGATTACATGTGGGACAATGTTGTGTACAATTGTTGCCATAGTAACCAGAGCCACATGGAATCTCACAGTTCTGTCCAGACCAGCCAGGGGGACAAATACACATTCCGGTCGTCTACAAAATACCAAGAACTTAGTACCAAGACAGACATTTACAACATATAAATGACTGAGTACCAAGATAGATTCTTCAAAATATCTAGAAATGAGTACCAGGACAGATTTCTTCTATTGACTTATACTCTGTAAATGTCTAGATATAATAGAATCATAGAACATCTTAACATGTCCTAATATGGTCATCTTAGCCTTACTCTTTGACCTAGATTCCTATCCCAGGAGAAATGAATGTCTAAAGTTTAACAAAAAGCCCAATCAATATTGTATACCTATATATTTCAAACACTAAGAAAAAAATCTTTGTAGAAACTCTTATCAGTGCTCCTATCCACAAAATCCTTGGAATTTTTTTTTTTTTGGGGGGGGGGGGGTCACCAAAAGTAGAATAGGATAAGTTCATTTAAGTCATCAAACCTCTGAAGTTT